TTTTTTTTTTTTTTTTTTCAGCTGGTTGGGGGGGGGATCCAAACTCCTGACTTTGGTACTGTAAGGCTGCACTCTAACCAGCTGAGCTAACCAGCCAGCCCAGGAAACCATAAATGTATCTACACTATCACACCTTTGACACTTTATGTCTTCTCAAATTCTTCACATAAAATTTAGACCTAGATCTAGATCCTTCTGTCTACTCTAGTCAACCAATTGCACACAGAATACTTGTATAGAATCAGAAAGCATCTTTGGGGCTGGCCAGTTAGCCCAATTGGTTAGAGTACAGCCTTACAACACCAAGGTCATGGGTTCAGACCCCTAAACTGACCAGCCACCCCCACCCCACCCCCCCAAAAAAAACAGAATCAGAAAGCATCTCAGCCTACACCATCTCAACAATACAGGCCCCCAGAGTGTATCTTAGAAATTTGTACAGGAATTTTGGGTTGTCACAGTCATTGGAGGAAGAGGAAGCTACCAGAACATAATTGGGATGCTAGACAGCCTGCAATGTAACAAGCCTACAATATAAAATATTGTCCCATGTTCCATCAGACTTTTGAATGTCCTGCCAGACACTTATGTGTCTTAGGCGTGGACTCTGACTCAATTTTACATATGCCAAGCTATTTTTTCAGTTTTAATAGGAACTAAATTTTCTAAGAATTCTTCTTTTTTTTTTTTCCCCCTTTTTGTCTTTTTTCGTGACCGGCAACGGATCGCAACCCTCAGTGTCGCGCCCATACCGGACCGGGACCGGCAACGGGATCGCAACCCTCGGTGTTGCTCCCGCACCTCGCTCAGCCAGTGAGCGGCCGGTCTGTATGTGGGATCCGAACCCTCGGCGGGAGCGCCGCCGCACTTCCCAAGCGGCGCACTGTAGCAGTGCACCACCGGGCCGGCCCTCTAAGAATTCTTCTATGTGAAAAACAATGGAAGATTATACTTTGATATAGTCAGATCTTTATCAAGAAGTTGTCCACCATTTGGAAAAATCATGTCATCAACTGAAAGCCTTTACGATGCTCGAGGCACCAACAGAACACACCAGTTGCAGCTGTAGCTTTTACATTTACAGTTATTGTATATAAGTGCAAGCAATGACCACTTTGTATTTTCTACTGTAGACATGTTTTGGTCTTTATATTTCGGAATATATATTATTTTGCTATTTTAAAATTTGTTTCTCCTTTATATTACAGCTAGGATATTGTTTTGATTTGTTTATAGATGGGTTATATTACCCATGATTTTCATTGCAGACAGTAAAAAAAAAAAAAAAAAAAAAAAACAAGGTCTATTCAGGATATATAAAGGGATGTTGGCACTAATTAAATTGAGAATCACTAATAGAACACGCCAAGATTTCCCGTTTGCCTCCCAGGCTACTATTAAACCATATGACCACACTACACACAGCCTCATTCCCATTTTCAAGGATCCTAAGCTTTTTTAGGATCCTCATCTATTTTATAGGAAACCAAATGGTGTGGATGATAATAATCTGCACCATTTGTCCGGTCCTTAGGAATTAAAATGATCTCACATATGTGATCTCATCTGATGCTCACGAGAGTCCTGAAAAGGTAACAAATTAAATGCTTTTCTAACGATTCTCACCAATGAAGTGGATTAAAGTAAGAACGAAAACAAACAAAAAACACTTTGCTAGTTGTATGACTGAGCGGCCGCCATCTCTCCTCTCACGAGCTTTCCGACAAGCCACAGGTGAAGCCACCAAGATTCTCAACCAAATGAAACCTCCGGACTTTCTTCTTTAGGGTTTAATTCAGCCTCTTCCTGCAGAGAGGAGAAAACCGAGAGTCAACCAAAGTCAGGAGACGTGCCCACGGCTCTGAGAAATCATATTTCAAAGCAGGTGTGTAAGAATACACGGGATGACCTTCTCTATTACACACCTACTTTCTATTTTCTCATCGTAAATTTTTGAGGAAAAGTCTCATGTCACCAAAAGCAAAACCGGACGCGGGCTGCTGGGGCGAGCGGCGAGCCCCGCCCCCTGCGCCCCACGCCCCGCCCCCGGGGCTGTCCGCGGCAGTGCCTGACTGGCGGCCAGTGCAGGGGCCCTCGAGGGGTCCTTCGCTTGGGCGCCCGACGCTCTGCCTGAGCGGGTGCGCGGGCGGCTTCCGGTGTGGGTGACGAGTGGTGGCCGAAGCTGGGGGACAGCAAGGGACGCTCAGGCAGGGACCATGGCGGACGGCGGGTCGGAGCGGGCCGATGGGCGCATCGTCAAGATGGAGGTGGACTATAGCGCCACGGTGGATCAGCGCCTGCCCGAGTGCGAGAAGCTGGCCAAGGTGAGGGGAGGCCGGCTGGCAGTTGGCGGGCACTGCTACGTAATAACTTCGTATAGCATACATTATACGAAGTAAGGGACGCTCAGGCAGGGACCATGGCGGACGGCGGGTCGGAGCGGGCCGATGGGCGCATCGTCAAGATGGAGGTGGACTATAGCGCCACGGTGGATCAGCGCCTGCCCGAGTGCGAGAAGCTGGCCAAGGTGAGGGGAGGCCGGCTGGCAGTTGGCGGGCGCCAGGGGCTGAGTCACGGCGCCGAGCCTGCTTAGGCCTCAGGGGCCTGCGGGCTGAGCGAGCATCCACCCATTGCCTGCCCAGCCCCGTTTGTACCTGCAGGAGTGGGAGACCCCAGGTCTGCTCGGCCAGGGGGACTCCACGGTTGGAGTGCGCTAGTGCACACTGCTTCCCGAACCCTGCCCAAGACAGATGGGCACTTCGTCTCCTTAGGGGTTGGGGCCCCCTTGTACTTTTTGCCTTTTCTTGGATATTGTTGAAGTGACGTTTACCTTCGTAGTTTCCCAGAGGTCATGGTCGCTTCAGCATTCAGGGAAGATCAGAGAGTTTAGTTGTGTTGCTGTCGCCGGATCAATTTATGTCATTAAGTTGTGTATGAATCAAAATTGTTTATGAGTCATGGCGACGTGCCTGGTCTTTAGCTGGGAGAAGGGGCAGGAAAAGTGATAGTACAATGATGATTAACACAGGACCTCGGTCCTTAAGGAGTTCGTGTGTATAACGACTTAGTGAAGTCGTGCATGGTGGTGAGTGCCGTACAAACGTCAAGTGTTATTGGAACGCAGAGAAGGGAGCAGCTCATTCTTACTGGTGAAATAAGGGAAGGTGTCACAGAAAAGCTGACGTTTGTATTGGGCCTTGAAGAGTTGGTGAGATTGGTATGGGGAAGAGTCATTCCTGGAGAGAATACTCCAGAAGTGAAGACAAATAGACACTAAAGTGCAGGATAACCCAATGTGGAGAAATAATAAACAGTAGCCCAGCTGCTTATCTCCCATGAAATGGAAACATCTTCATGTCTCCTGCTACCTGTCTCGCAACTTTGTGTATCATTTCACAAATAAAGAAACCAAGACTCAGAGGTTTCAGTCATGGGCTGTTGCTAAGGATTAGGCTCAGGCTTCATTAAATTCCTTGATCAGTTCAGCTCCAAACATGTATTACTATTTACTTGGATGCGTTCACTAAGAGTTTTATTTGTTCCTTAAGGAGCTTATTGCATAAGTACATTACAGTGTAGTAAATTCAGGGGCAGTAGGAGTGCCAAGTAATGTGTCACATTTAGTTCTTAGAAGGAAACTTTTAAAATACTTTTTCTCCCCCCCACCCTCACCCCCCAAAAAAGATTTTAATGGGGCTTTATAAAAAACAAGGATGAAGGGCCGGCCCGGTGGCGCACTGCTACAGTGCGCCGCTTGGGAAGTGCAGCAGCGCTCCCGCCGAGGGTTCGGATCCCACATACAGACCGGCCGCTCACTGGCTGAGCAAGGAGCGGGGGCAACACTGAGGGTTGCAATCCCGTAGCCGGTCCCGGTCCGGTACGGGCGCGACACTGAGGGTTGCGATCGTTGCCGGACGCGAAAAAAGACAAAAAGGAAAAAAAAAAAAAAAAAAAACAAGGATGAAGAAAGATGAAGTTGATACACCAGTATTTCTTAGATTCGGTATGCTTTCTGAGGGGGAGCCTTAAATTCATCTGTGAGCTTTTTAGCTGCTAGTGTAAAGAAACGCCATTGGTTACTCAAGATGAGAAAACTCAGTCACCTACAGTGTCAGGCAGATAACGATAGCTGACATTTATTGAGTACTTTCCACAGTGCCAGGCACTCTAAGTGCTTACATGCACTAACTCATTCGATCCTTACCTCAGCCGAATGCAATAGGTATTACTGTTGTCTTTATTTTACAGACAAGGAAACTGAGACTAGGAAAAGTTGACTCACATGCCCCAAGGTCATACAGCTAGTAAAGTGGTAGAGCCAGGTCGCAAACCCAGACAGACAATTCTAGAGCTTGTGCTGTCACCCACCATGCTGTCCTGCCTAGTAAGCCAAGAATAATGATAACTTGACCTTTCGAGCACCTGCCCAGGGAAAGGAGGCAGCAACTCTTCACTTCTTGTTAATCTCTGGCAACTGGGGATGAAGGCTGAGCCTTGTCAACGCTGCTAATTTGAAGGAGAAAACAGAAATATGGATTTTTATATGAAATACCGTAATATTTAGAAACTGGACAGAAATCTGTTTTAAAATACTATTTGAATGCATGTGGATATGTCTGCTCCTGTTTCCTTTGGGAGTAGGAATACATCCATAACATGCTACATTAAAAAAGAAGTTCACAGGGCTGCCAACCTTACAGTAGAGGTTGAGTAGTAGTATATCTCTCCTACATAAAAGACGAAAAAAAGATACTATTTGAGTCAATACTGTGTAGATCAAACAAAACATACATACATACATACATACATACAGGGGCCAAAGTTAGCCCCTGACCCGCCACTTTGTAATTAATAGAATGATAGCATCCCTAAGAAAGAAACAGATGATTTGCTTTAGAGAAGTACAGCTATTCCTAGAATGGAGACATGGGAGGAAAAAAAATCTTCCCTTTACCAATTGCTTCTGACAGTAGGATTAGTGTGCAAGACCTAGTCAGTGCTAGACACTGTGGGACATATACAGATTTATTATACAAAGCTCTTGCCCACAAATAGCTTATAGACCCTAGGTCTGCCTGGCTAGGTAGACTTCACAGCCAGCCAGAGTACTCTAGTGCTACTTCACTATTACAGTTGTTCTAGTGATCATGTATGTGATATTTATTTAGAACATTGTTATCATATTCAAGATAGTTGAAAAGACTTCCAAACTCAAATGCCAGAAGCCTTTTTTGGTAAACTTAAAGGCATTTGGATTCTGATTTTTTTTTTTTTTTTTAAGATTACTGGTAAAGGGATCTTAACGCTTGACTTGGTGTTGTCAGCACCACGCTCTCCCAAGTGAGCCACTGGCCGGCTCTATGATTTTTTTTTTTTTAAAGCCTGTATGCCAGCCGAACAAAACAAGGTATATGTGGATTGTTTTGGGGGGCGGAAGAGAAGGTTGGGACATGGAGGGGTATAATTTTATTTTATTTTATTTTTTTGATATACACAGACCCACAGTTTTCAGCTTTTAGACTAGATGGTTGTCCTACAGTCCTGGTTAATTTTTTTTTTTAAGTTATGTGTAGGTGCTCTAGCTCTTGTCGGAATCCTGCTGACTGGACCAATTGTAGCACTCAGGCTAATGTTAGCATTCTGCCAACGACGCCAATTGTAGCGCTACTTGACTACGCCAGTTGTCAGGCTCTTTTACCTGCCGGTAATCTTGCCAACTGGGCCAATTGTCAAGCTAGGGCTGGATCTGGAGCTCACAGACCCCTCAAGCCCATTCACAGACTGTGTCACAAACCCTTCACGTGCCAGGCTGGGTCACCAGACCTCTTACACGCAGGTCTGTGAGCTAGGTAACTGGCAAACAGGTCCTTAGAAGCCACAGGTTGGAAAGCTTGGCTGCACATGTGGCGGCCACACGGGGCAGTAAACTCCAGCCAAAGGGGAGGCACTGCAGGTGCACTAACTCCACCCACACACACAACTTGGCTTACAAAGAATGTGCTGCACCACACCCGACTGGACCTAAGGCGAGGGGGCCTGATTAAATTATTCTATTTTCCCAACATTATGTTTCTCTGATTTGCTTTTTATTCATTATTTTATATATTTTTCTAACCGTTCTGCCAAACATTAAAAAAAGATTGACATTGTATTTCTACACTGGGATGTATGGAACATTTTAGCATACATTCTTCTGTTTTTATTTTGAGCCCATCAATAAAACTGTGAAGAAAATTTTGTTATTTTTCACTTCTGAGAAGACTTAAGGTTCAGGCCGCTTAGGTGGTTTATCCAAGGCAGGTCAAGCTCAGGTCTCCTAGCAACAGGAATGGTGTTCTTTTTCCTACATCCTACTACCTCTTTAAGGGATTGTCAATTTTGTCCTTGATTTCCTTAAGACATTTTTTATTTATAATGCGAAAGACATTTCAAGATAAAAATTAATGTGTGTAGAGACTTACGAATGTGTCAGGTGAGAAAACTACATATATCAGAAGCCTTAAAAACACAGACTGAAGTCTAGACTTGGATAGTAAAATTGCCAAATCTAGGTCATTTGAATCTCCTATAGTTGTAACCTAGTACAATTCTATGTTTACATCCTAACACCCACCTAAGCAATAACTAATATTTATCGCTGCTGTTCTATTGAAATGTTAGCTACTGTGATGATGATATTCATTCTGTGCTCTAGGCATACCTTTATAATAAGTATTGATTTAATCCTTACACCAGCTCTGTGGGGTTGGTGCTATTATTATGCTCACTTCACTGAATAGAAAATTGAGGGTCAGAGAGGTTTAAGTGTCTTGCCTAAGGTAATACGATGGTAGAGCTGGGATTTAGACCCAAGCAGTCTGGCTGCAGAGCCTATATTTTTAACCATTATGTTCTACCACTTCTCTTATTGGTATGTGAGGACCATGCATCAGGTTAATGAGAAAATAAAAGTGATACTAGTTCTTTATGTTGGTTATCTCTTCACCTTGTATAGAGGAGTCAGAAATTAATCTAAAGAGAGCTTTTTTGGAACTGTAAAGAGACATATTTAGTATTTCGCAGTTCACAGAGGGTTTTCCACACGCTTTTTGATTATGGGATATTTGGCACCTTGTTATTAGAGGACTACTTATATTCTTAAATTGAATATATCCTTTGGTTCTTCTTCATAAATGTCTTTTCATTTCTTTTGGTCACTTGCAACCTCTTCTCAAGGTTAATATTAAAAATAAAGAGGAGGTGAAATGTAAAACAGTTTACTGATTGTTAGCAGCTTGAACAAAAGACCCCTTTCAAAATATGTCGTTTAAAAGAATTGTATTGGCTTTAAATTTCAGCTATTCGTGGTAGATTTTTATCGGCCTTTTCCTTACTTGTTTAGGTTGTTTAACAAATCATTAAAAGATTGGACCCATTTAGGAGGTAAAGGAGACAAACATAGAACTTACAGATATCCAACATGTATTGATGTTAAACTCACTTACCTCATTTACAAGGATTGTTTTAATGAGAAAAATGAGTCACAGAAGTCTCATGTTCTAACGAGTTGGTTTTGGATAGCTCTAGCCATTTTATTCTTTCTGAGTTGAAAGGCAGCATCAAGGAGATGAATTTCTGGAACTGTGTGAGCAGATAGGAAAGGAAGGAGGAAGATGTTTTGCCATAGGATTGGACATGGAAGATTGGGAGAAAAAAGAGGGATGATTTGAGAATGGAATTGTGTTTAATGAAGTTGATGATAGTGTTCCTCAAGTAGCACTAAATTGTCAGCCATATAACTTGTCACATCTTACTTATTGTGACAGTGATAATCAGGAATGGTAAGCCATTAAGGTCAACGAAATAGTTGGGGAGAATGTCAATCCATTCAATACATACTCTGTGCAAGTTGGTGCAAGGGAATCAACAACTAAGGACTCCGCTCTAAAGGAACTTACAGACCAATTAGGAGGTAGGATATGTACACTAATAACTATGGTACAAGGTATAAAAAAAGGTACCATAATACCTACAGAAGCAACGTGTGCTTGGTGTGATACAGTGCACTGAGCTACAGTGGTGAATAATATAGACATGGTCCCATCTCTTACAGAGCTTACATTCTAGTGGGATTAGAAAGACAAGAAACATTAAAATAGAATATAGTTTGGGGTAATTGCAAAGCAGACAGTAGAGTAGAATGTTAAAGAAGGATGCGCTAAGAGACTGTTTTAGAGAGCATTAGTTTTTCTAAGAAGGTGACATTTAATATGTTATTGATACTGCAGACCATGGCTCTAGAGCAGTATGTGATTCCCTCACCTGTAGGGGTAGAGTTCTTCAGTATCCATGCTTCTAAATTAGAATACCATATATTAAACTATGTTCTGTTGATTATAGTCACATGACTTACAGCAAATAGGACAAGAGATAACTATCAGTAAACAGTATTTTGCATTTTAACTATTTTTGCACATCATTTTGTTACTAGATAGTAACCATTTCTCTATAGAGATCACTTTGATCAAAACAAAACGCACTGATATGTTTAAATAAGGGGAGCACTGCAATGTAGTAGAGGGAACTTTGGACCAGGAGGCAAGAGCCCTGGGATCTGGTTCTGCTGATTTGTTTCATGGCTGAGCAACTAGTTTAAGCCATTTGGTCCTGAGTCTTTTTAATCTGTAAAATGAGGTGATTGAATTAAATAACCTCTAGCTGTCTTTCTAGTTCTAAGATTCTTTGATCTTTTATGATTTGTCTTCAGCTTTGGAGAATTTATAGATTTGTTCATTGTTCGCTTCCTCTGAACATTTAACCAGCATTTATTGTGTACATGAATCTATTGAGCTTTCAGAACTTTGCATAGAGAACATTGTTAAAATATGTTAATAATCATGTGTTTCAGATTTAATTATAAGTTCAAACAGTGGCTATAGAGTACATATTCTGAGATGCATAGAAAACTCATACTTTAGGGCCGAGCCCGTGGCGCACTCGGGAGAGTGCGGCGCTGGGAGTGCAGCAATGTTCCCGCCGCGGGTTCGGATCCTATATAGGAATGGCCGGTGCGCTCACTGGTTGAGTGCGGTGCGGGCGACACCACACCAAGGGTTGCGATCCCCTTACCGGTCATGAAAAAGACAAAAAAAGAAAAAGAAAACTCATACTTTAAAATTTATCTTGGAAAATATGGCAGCAGTATTTTGAAAAGTCCAAACATTACTTGTACCCTTAATTCAAAAGCTGTTTAGTTTTTTTATCAGTAGGAAAGGATAGTACGTACTCATGTACCATCCATGAATGTCACTAAGATAGAAAAATTTTTTTTCATTTATGGTTAGAAAAACAATTTGTGAATAAAACCATCCTCATCACTTTCACTTCATTGTCAGAGTTGTGTACGTGATAGGGGCTGCTTGTTAGCTCAGTCGGTTAGGGGCAGTATTTTAACACCAAGGTCAAGGGTTCGGATCCCCATACTGGCCAGGTGCCAAGAAAAAAAAAAGAGGGGGAGTTGTGTACGTGGTAGTTATTAATATCATTGTCTTAAATAAGTACAATTTTTGTGCCATAGGTTGATTTTGTTTTTATCAAAATGTGTGGTTCCTAATAGGATGACTTATTTTAGTCCTGGTATATTATCATTTAGATTTATATTATTTGAATTTTATTATTCTCAGTTGTTAATGTATGTCCCGGGGAGAATGTTTTGTTTTTTGCATATGAGATAGAGGTGTGGAGAGATTTATCAGTTGACACAAAGGGTGGGTGTATTTTGGATGGATCAGTATCTGCTTAAGAGCATGGCTTTTGATAAGTATAGCAATGTATGAGTATTTTCTTTTCTTTTTTTTTTTTTTTGTCTTTTGTCTTTTTCCGTGTCTGGCAACGGATCGCAACCCTCAGTGTTGCCCCCGTACCGGACCGGGGACCGGCAACGGGACCGCAACCCTCGGCGTTGCTCCCGCGCCTCCCTCAGCCAGTGAGCGGGAACCGGTCTGCATGTGGGATCCGAACCCTCAGGCGGGAGCGCCGCCACGCTTCCCAAGCAGCGCACTTATCCAGTGCGCCACCGGGCCGGCCCAATGTATGAGTATTTTCAAGTGGTCTTCATTTCCTGTATGTATGATTTCTAATTTATGTTGTAGTCATTGAAAAATTAAACCACGGTTTCCTAACTTTTTACCACCAATTGTCCTTTTTATTTTTTCTTGATAGTTCATGTTTTAAAATATTTGTTACAGTGAATTTAGAAAGAAATAATTTAAAAACCTGGTAGGGGACAGGGTCAAAAGGTCAGTGATCCAACCTCCCCCCCCAAAAAGGTCACAGACTGTATGATTCCATTTATGTAACATTCTCATAATGACAAAAGTATAGAGATAGAGAACAAATCAGTGATTGCCAAGGTTTAGGTATGGTGCGGAGAGAGTGGTGGCTATAAATATATAGGGGTCGCATGAGGGAAATCTGTGGTGATGGAACAGTTCTGTATTTTGATTGTGGTTCCTTTAATCTATAATTATTTCAAAATAAAAAGTTTAAAAAAAAATTATTTTCCCATTTTTATTCTTCACAGACACCTGTAACTACCAGTTAGAGTCTCTGTTCAGAATAAGATAAACTGGTCACTGAGCTGGTAAATTGAAATCCAAAACAAAGACTTGGTGTTTTTCTCAGGTGTTAAATCATTGTTGTTATATGTTCAGTTTCTCTTAGGAATTTTAAAATGTTAAAAATAGCTTGTGGGCCCCAAGTAGGGACCCACCGACTTCTGGAATCCACTGGAGAAGCAAGGACCATCATGAAGAGGAGAGAAGGAAAACAAGAGTAGTTATGCGGTGGTCCTTTTCCTTCTCTGTGTCAGAAACATCTCATTTTAGACTAGTTGTTTGGTTTGTGTTGTTCTTTTCATTATTTGTTTTTATCTTTTGTTTTAGGAAGGAAGACTTCAAGAAGTCATTGAAACACTTCTCTCTTTGGAAAAACAGACCCGTACTGTGAGTAGATTTACAGTGAAAACCTCAACTGCTCATTAACTTCATTAGCATTGTTCCATTAACTTGCCATGTGTTTTTCGTTCTTACAGGCTTCAGATATGGTATCTACGTCTCGTATCTTAGTTGCAGTAGTGAAGATGTGCTATGAGGCTAAAGAATGGGATTTACTTAATGAAAATATTATGCTTTTGTCAAAAAGGCGGAGTCAATTAAAACAAGTGAGTTCATGATTGCTCAAAAAACAAATACATTTACATTTAAATAAGGACTTTTAGAAAGCTATTCTATGAATCATTTTAAAATTTGTTAAATCAACATTACAGCATTCTAGAAGGTGTTTAAAAATTCCACCATATTCTCATAATGACACAAATGTTTTCTGTTTTTTCTTCTAGTCCTTATATATTTGCATATCTTTACAAAATTGTGCTGAGTGGCGATGCAGCTTTGCTGTATTTCTGAATTGCTCATCTTCATTTTTATTCTTTTAAATGGTTGTGTTATAATCCAAGTTGATAATCTAATTTACTTAATCATATCTCTTTCATTAAACACTTAATCTTTAACTTATTTTTGAGGCATTAACTTATTTAATTTATTTTGAGGCCATTTTTAGACAGGTTACCTTACTCATTTTGTTTAAAGATTATATAAGTTCTTTTTCAGTGTTTTTTGTGAAGCTGGATTTTCTTTACTGTTTCCTTCTTCCTTTGCCTGAGATTAATAATCCTCTGTAGAAGTAGATTCCATTTTTTACATTTCTGTATGTCATCTTTAAAATGCTGTTTTCTGAATAGTTCCTGGATTCTCATTTTTTGCTTTAAATAGTAAAGATAATGACATTTTGTTTTTTTTCTTTTTTTTCTTTTGAGATAATGACATTTTGAAAGAGGATAGTAGTCGAACCAAAAATATATATATAGGGTTCTTGTCCAAATGCTTTATTTTCTTAATTAGACTGCTGTTAGAGTGAGCATAGTACCGACGGTCCCCAACTTAAGATGGTTTGACTTTAGGTTCTTCAGCTTTAAGATGGTTCAAAAGCAATAAGCATTCAGTAGGCGTGCTTCAAGTACCCATACAACCATTCTGTTTTTCTCTTTCAGAACAATAAATTTCTCTCTCAATTCAATAAATTGCACAAGATATTTAACACTTTATTATAAAACAGGCTCTGAGTTAGATGATTTTACACAACTATAAGCTAATGTAAGTGTTCTGAGTGTGTTTAAGGTAGGCTAGGCTAAGCTATGATGTTCAGTAGGTTAGGTGTATTCAATGCATTTTCTACTTAATGCTGTTTTCAATTATCATGGGGTTATGGAAACATAACCCCATCATAGGTTGAGAAGCATCTGTATGGAAGTGGATTAGTTTTTTTGCACATATCAGTTACTGTAATTGTTCTTGTTTTTTAGATGTTTACATGCATATAAAATGCATTGTTAAGAATTATCATGGGGCCGGCCAATGGCTCACTCGGGAGAGTGTGGTGCCGATAACACCAAGGCCACGGGTTCGGATCCCATATATGGATGGCTGGTTAGCTCACTGGCTGAGCGTGGTGCTGACAACACCAAGTCAAGGGTTAAGATCCCCTTACCGGTCATCTTTAAAAAGAAAAAAAAAAGAATTATCGTGGATTTAATTGAGGCAGACTAGTGTGTGAATGTTAAATTCATTTAAATATGCTTTTTGATGCTCGGCTCTATGGTTTAAGAGACAATTATTAGATAAACCGTCATCATCTTCTGCTTTTCTTAAGAGATTTGTTCTTTATGGGACAATTTTGTGTAAGGGCTACTTAATTAGAAGTCTTGAGGCAGCCTGCATTAAAATAAACAAAAATATATGTTTCATGTAGCATTAGGACAGTTTAAAACACATATCCTAAAATTTCAGATTTAATTTCATGGTGTCATAAAATTTTATAACTAGAGACTGTATGGCTCACAAAGTCCAAAACATTTACTTCATAAATATTTGCAAAAATTTACAGAAATATTTGCCGATCCCTGACCTAGATCATAGAATGTTAGAGCTGGAGGGAACGTAGTTCAGCCCCTCTGTACTACCTATGAGGAAACTGAGGGCAAGAGATTCTCTTACTTTCACTGTCACATTTTAGTGAGGTAAGTATGGGTGACTGTAGCTTTTACTCTCTACCTGATGATCCAGATGATGGAACTGTTTTACTTTATGCCTCTGCCACTGACTCTTCTCAGTATCTGTTGGTCGTGGCTTCGAGCCACTGCTGAACTCAGCTTTTCTCTTTTTTCCCCTGAACTCTGCTGCCATTTCTTCCATGCTTTTCTGCTTGGTTGCATCTTTGCACCTGAGATTGTCCTCACCATTATTGACTTGTTTCTGGATATTCAATACTTTTTAGTTACCAGGGAGATTTTGATGTGTTTGATGTTCTTTTGTGGGCATTTCAGTATCTAGAGTTGCTTAGGAAGACCAAATTTGACCATAGCTCTTCTATCAATTAAATATATTTTTTTCCTGTGTTAGGAATTTTACTTAAGAACCATTTTTAATATTTTAGGCAGTTGCAAAAATGGTTCAACAGTGCTGTACTTATGTCGAGGAAATCACAGACCTTCCCATCAAACTTCGATTAATTGATACTCTGCGAATGGTTACAGAAGGAAAGGTAAGTTTTCTGTTGACATAATTCACAGTGATAAATAGTCTTATCTGTATTCAGAGATAATTACATATTTAGACATTTTATAAAAGTATGTTTGTATGTGTGTATGTTTTTTTTCTAAGAAGAAATACACAAAATGTCATCACCTTAATTCAACCAATACTATCTTTGTATATCCCCTTCTAGTATCTTTCTGTATGCAGATTAATATTTTTACATGGTGAGTCTTGGTATTTCCATATTTTTCTAGGAATTAGTGATCTTATCTTATATGTGGCATTTTGAGAATGAATAAAATTCTACAGGGCCAGGGGGTGGGGAGAAGGGCATGTGAGACAGGAGAAATTATATACCAAAGTAAGAAACACATGATATATTTAGGAAACTGTAAGTAGTTTGGCATTATTGGAAATTAAGTTTTTTAGGGGTGGGGTGGGGAAGGAATTGCTGCAGAGCAAAGGCTAAGGGGGTAAGTAAGCATGAAAATTTGTTCCCTAGACTTTAAGGTTGTAGTTATATTTTTAATGTTTTATTTGTTGAAAATTATAAATCTACTAACATTATTTATAGCTATAAAAAAATACTAGCAACTTTAATACTAAGCAAGGTCAGATTTTTTTTTTTTTTGTGGTGACTGACCAGTACTACCAAGGTCCAAACCCTTGATCATGGTGTTATAAAACAGCCTTGTATTTAAAGATAAATCAGAATTAGAGTATTGGTTGAAGTGTAGATATTGGGCTCTTTGTAAAGTGTGTTATTTTACAAATAATTCTTTTAAAGGCACTTTCTGTTTTCTGTGCCAGCTATGTAGCTTGTGGTCTTGTTATTTGTTAAACACAATAATTTCATATTTAGGTTCTGAAAACAGATCTGCAAAATATGGATAATGTTTTATAGAGACAATTTCTTTAAAATTGTGGCTGTATTTGTGAAATGTAAAATGTCTCACAACTCTGTTTGTACATGGAGGATGAAGTGCACCATAGCTGCAAGATGAATACTCAGCCTAGCCTGAAGAATAGTTCAGTCCTACCTATTAAATTTTAATACATTTCTACAGGAATTTTGATAATGTAATTTCTCTTATTTATAGATTTATGTAGAAATTGAGCGTGCTCGACTGACTAAAACATTAGCAACTATAAAAGAGCAAAATGGTGACGTGAAAGAGGCAGCCTCCATTTTACAAGAGTTACAGGTAAGGTGCTACATTTTGGAGTTTGTAAAACTTTCTGTTTAGTCAGCAATATTTTCTTGTGGAAATAACTTATTTTGGCATCTTATCACTTTTTTTCTAAGCCACCAAGAGTAAGAGCAAGTGCGGTATAGTGTTAGGTTATTTAGGCAGCTGTTGCATAATCACAGTCCAGCTAAATTTAACTGTTAAAAAAGTTTTGAACAAAAATTAGGATCAACAAATTTGTCTTGATTTTTTTGCTATTACTTGAACATTTTAATTCTCTTTAGATTTATTTAATAGGTATTTCATGTACTATTATGTCTTAGGAATTTGCTGTTAATTATTGGCTTCATTCTTAATGGATATTTGATTGGTAGAAAATTTCTAGTCTCAAGTGGTTCAACAAAGAAAAATTGCATCATTCGTCTTGTTTCAGGACAGTCTTTAACAGAGGCCTTAGAATGAGACAGGAAAGAGCTAAGATACCTGAAAAAAAGCCAAGGACTGTCTCACCTGTAAAGTAATACATAAACTATGCTCAAAATTTCCTAAATAACATCAGTGAATTCAGACTCTGTCCCTGGGACCCATCAGAGGTTCCCCATTAAGTTAAATTTATTATTTTAACTTTTCAATCATGTACCTTATTCATTCTTGCTAAAGAAAGGGAGGAAGTTAGCATTACTAAGAGGGTCTTACTTGCCATACATTGTTTTTGTTCTTTTTTTTTTGTTTTGTTTAACATGTTCTGTCTTCTTTATATAATTTATTGCAATTTTTTTTTTTTTTTTTTTTTTTTTCCTTTTTTAAATTTTTTTTTTTTTTTTTTTAATTTTTTTCATTTTTTTTTTTTTTTTTTTTTTTTGTCCTTTTTGAGACCGGCCGCACCGTGCTCAGCCAGTGAGCACTGTGAGCGCACCGGCTATCCCTATGTAGGATCCGAACCCGCGGTGGGAGCGCTGCAGCGCTCCCAGCGCCGCACTCTCCCGAGTGCACCACGGGCTCGGCCCAATAATTTATTGCATTTAATGTTCACACACAACACTATTTTTATCCCCAGTTTTCAGCCAAGGAAACTGAGACTCAAAGGGATTGAGTAACTTGCCTATGATTGTTGTCAAGAAGTAGTAGAGTTTGGATTCATACTGGTTCTTTTTGGATTCAGACCCTATTTTTTTTTTTTATTGTTAATAGACTATTTTTTACAGCAGTTTTAAGTTCACAGCAAAATTGAGCAGAAAGTACAGAGAGTTGCCACATATACCCTCCGCCACACACACTCACACACACCCTCTCCCCTTCTGTGGACATCCCCTACGAAAGTGGTACCTTTTACAATCAATGTCCATATTTTACATTCGAGTTCAGTGTTCAGTTTTGGTGTTTTACATTCTGTGGGTTTTGACAAATGTATAAGGCCATGTATTATCTACCGTTAAAGTATCATACAGAATAGTTTTCATTGCCCTAAAAGTCCTCTGTGTTCCATCTATTAATTCCTCCTTCCCCTTAGCCCTTGGCAACCACTGATCTTTTTACTGTTTACATAGTTTTGCCTTCAGATTCTATTTTTCAACCAGATGGATTATGTGCTTAATGATTCAAAATCCCCTGTAAAATAATCTCCCCCCCCCTCACAAAATCTCAATTATGTAAAGCTTCTAGGTTTAACTACCAGTTTATAGGATAGATACACCAGGCACACAGGAGCCTGTTAAATGACACCACAGGGGTCCAGTCTGCAAAAGTTACACTCTAAGAAACTATAGGATGATTGACTTGATTTCTTCAACAAATAAATGGCAAGGAGAAAAAGACATAAGAAACATATCTACCAATTGCAAAGTATGGACTCTAACTTCTAACTAGATTTAAAAATAGGCTATATCAGGGACTGACTAAATATTTGATGATATAAGGAATTTCCAGGTAGGATCCTTTTTTCCCCCCAAACTTTACCTTTTAGGGATACATACTGAAATATTTTCATGTAACAAGTTGTGTGAGATTTGCTTCAAAGTAACTGACACATGGAGAGTGGGTAAAGGTATATAAATGAAACATTGATGGCTCATTGTATGTGTTTGTAATTTTTTTTTTTTAAATCCTTATAAAAGATGACCAGTAAGGGGATCTTAACTCTTGACTTAGTGTTATCAGCACCACGCTCTCCCAAGTGAGCCACGGGCCAGCCCTGTTTGTAATTTTTTCTTAATAAAAATACAAAGAAGATGGTGAAATAAAAACATTTTCAGACAAAATAATAATAATGATAATAGTCTTCATTCTACTTTGTAAATGTGTTGTCCTAGGTTTTATAAATTCATTTACAATATACATATACCAAATGTTATATTAGAAATGTTTTTCATAGTGTTTGATGTAATTTCTTCTCTATATTTTATTTGTGTATATCTGATGTAAGTATGTATTCTACATCCATTAGGAGTCATACAGCTTTATTACCTGAATTTTAAAAGACCAGTGCCTCTCTTTCATATAATGGTTTCAACTATTATATAAACCGAAAGCCTGTGAATGGCATCTATTTTTATATTTAAAATTGTAATTTCCTTATTAGCCATTAGGAAAATGCAAATTAAAACCACAAGAAGATTCTGCTACATACCTATTCCAACGGCTAAAATTTAAAACACAGTACCAAGTGCTGTTGGGGATGCAAAGCAACTGGAACTCTCATACATTGCTGGTGGAAAGGCAAAATGGTGCAGCCACTCAGGAACACACTTGGGCAGTTTCTTATAAAGTTGAGCATATACTTACCGTGTGACCCAGCAATCCTACTCCTGAGTGTTTACCTATGAGAAATGAAAACTTACGTTCACACAAAATCTGTCCACTTATGTTCAGAGCAGCTTTATTTGAACTTAACTGGACAGATAGCCAAAAGGTGGAATCGGCCAAGATGTTCTTCCTGCAGGTGAACGGATAAACTATGGTGTGTCCATACAATGAAATACTACTAAGCAATAAAAAGGAATGAACTATGGATATACACACCTTGAATGAATCTTACAGTTCATGGCATTAGGCAGAGTGAATAAAGACAAAAGATCACATACTGTAATAGACATTCTTGAAAAGATATATCTATAGAGATGGAGCAGATTATTGATTGTCAGGGCTTATGAGTGAGGGAAGGTGTGACTTGACTATAAAAGGATAGGATGAGAGAGTTTGGGGGAGTAATAGAATTGTTCTGTATCTTCATTGTCATGGTGGTTACATGAATCAATACATGTGTTAGAATACATGAAACTTTATATTAAAAAGAAAAAAACCCATTTTACTGTATAATAATTTTTTTAATTATAATTTCCTGGAGGCAACTAAGTCTTCATATAATTGCCAGCATTCTCCCTATATGCATGAAGGTTTTTATTATTTGACATGTATGAATATTTTAATATCTATTTAATTTTGTTTTAATTGATAAAAACTAAGTTTTATAAACTTATTTGGGGACTGACTGTTAGGTGGAAACCTATGGGTCAATGGAAAAGAAAGAGCGAGTGGAGTTTATTTTGGAGCAAATGAGGCTCTGCCTAGCTGTAAAGGATTACATTCGGACACAAATCATCAGCAAGAAAATTAACACCAAATTCTTCCAGGAAGAAAATACAGAGGTGAGCATGTTTCTTACTACATGTTTCCTTTTAAAGTGTTTGAATAAAACCCATTAACTTCAATTCATTTTGTCAACTTTTTTTCAGAAATTAAAATTGAAATACTATAATTTAATGATTCAGCTGGATCAACACGAGGGATCCTATTTGTCTATTTGTAAGCACTACAGAGCAATATATGATACTCCCTGTATACAGGCAGAAAGTGACAAGTGGCAACAGGTAAGGATATATTATAATCGACATGGATCCTTACGAGGAAGAAAAGTTTGCATTTTTAATTTTCAAATTATTTTAACTGCAGTAGTTATACACAGTTGTATGGTGCTGCTTTTTATTCAATGTGTTGATATTCCACATATCCTTACTGATTGAGACTAATTGGAGCAATAGTGTAAATTATGTGTCACTTTTGAAGAAATGTAGGCTTGCCATTTAAAATATGTACAGTCGGTCACTTGCTAACAAAGTTTACAGATGAAGACCCAGCATTACTTTGGAAAGTTATTTTACAAAGCTGTTTTAAGGAGCTTAAATATATATTTCCCATATATGCTGCTATAACTGTTATAAGTACTTTTTCTTTATATGTTTGTCAAAAAGGAATGTCAAAAAAGAGTCAGCTGAGATAATTCAGATTAGCAAAGATTTACTGTAATAGTCTAATGAAGACTAAATATTACAGAAATACACTATGAAAAGGTCAGCCCAGTAAGATTTTTCCCCCAAAGACTTTAAGCCCAAAATGAAAATGAACATATACAATTATTTCCTGACTTTTTTAGTTCTTTCCAAAGTTCCCTTTATGTTTCTAGTCTTGCATATAACCTGTTGTATTGTATAACTTTTTTAGGCTCTGAAAAGTGTTGTTCTCTATGTTATCCTGGCTCCTTTTGACAATGAACAGTCAGATTTGGTTCACCGAATAAGTGGTGACAAGAAGTTAGAAGAAATTCCCAAATATAAGTAAGTACTTTTGTAACTAGTATGATCTCAGTAGATACACCATTTTGAAAGAAAATTGGCTAACCTAAGTGTGTACTTCTTAATTAGTTGCTGATAGATTATATTAGAAAATAAAGCTAGAGATAATAAAGTGGTGAAAATTTTTTTTGCATTTCATTAGAAATTAATGTAAAGAGATAACACACTTTATTCTAAACTACTTATCAAGTAGAAGTTTTATATCAAGCACACTTTAGCACGTTTTGGTTAATTAACAACTTGATAAAGTTTTATTATTTATCTGTTTCATTAGTATGTTTGCAATCAGTTATTTCAGAGACTGACAAATACAGGAGAGAGCAGAATGTTAAGTAGGGGAATTCTCTGTTCAGAATTACTGTGGGAAAAAATGGTAGTAAAGTTGGTAAAGTAAATAATCGAATTGTGTTTAGTTCTACCAAATAAAAATTTATAAAAGCAGTCTGTTGATTTTTTCAAATTTGCCATCATGTAGGATGATACTTAGTTTTTACAGATTTGTAATATTAAGTATTTTACAATTTACAGGGATCTTTTAAAGCTTTTTACCACAATGGAGTTGATGCGTTGGTCTACACTTGTTGAGGACTATGGAATGGAATTAAGAAAAGGTTCCCTTGAGAGTCCTGCAACTGATGTTTTTGGTTCTACAGAGGAAGGTGAAAAAAGGTGGAAAGACTTGAAGAACAGAGTTGTTGAACATGTAAGAATCTGGCATGATAGAGATGACAATTTTTATTTTAACTTTTAACTAATGAGTTTACTTTTTAGAATTATCTTAGAATTAAACTTTGGCAAATTTGAGCATATACTGTTTTATTTTTCAGGTTTGATAACCAAATGTTTCTTTTGGATGTTTTGTCTTTAATTCTTCACTTTAGGATTTTCTTTCACCTATGCCCAGTATAGTAGTGATGTAAATTTGTTGTTGTTTGAATGTTTATTTATTTATCTTTTTTTTTTTTTTTTTTTTTTTTTTTTTTTTTTTTTTTTGAGCAGCTGGCCAGTCTTCTATGTGCCAGACACTGTACAAAGTACTGGGGCACATGGAAGAATAAGACATGGTCTTTACCTTCAAGACACTTAAAAATCATAGGGAAAGATGTGTTTATGGATAAAAAGTGTTAGAGATATCAGCTACAAGTATTTGGAGAGTAGAGTGGGGTATAAGGAGAGAGTTGATTGCTTCTACCTGGAGGAAAGGTCAGGCTAGATACATAGGAATTGCCGAGTGAGGTGATATTTGTGACAGCAGTGTGTGGTGGTTATCAGGCAGATGGGAGGGCGGTGATTTAGGCAGGTGGGATAGTCTGAGCAAGGGCATGGAGGCATAAAAACCATCAGAGGAATTTGGAGAACTCCAAGAAAAGTTGGAGATGTAAAAAAGAGTCTGAATCATAACAAATTTTGTATACCCCGATAGTGAAAACTTTTAACTGAGAGGATAACGTCCAGGCTTGTATTTTATAAAGTGCCTCTGAGATAAGTGTGGAGAATGGATTTGGAGACAAGACTGGAGATGAGAAGACTAGTTAAGTCAGGGGCTATATGGACCTGAGTTAAGGTAGCAGCCAAGGGATTGGAGAAGAATGTTCAGAATGGAATTGTCCTAAGGGAGGAAGTTAATAGAATGTGGTCACTGATTAGATTTAAAGAATGGAGGAAAAGGTGGAATGTAGAGTGCTTCTTATGCTTTCTGAGAGGTTGGTGTTGTCATCGACCTGATGGGGACAGAAGGAGGTGTACTTTCTGCAGAGATAAGTTCATTTTTCTCCCCACCGATCCCATTTTTCTTTTGAGTTGAGTGGTATTTTGTTAATAATGTTAGCTTTTAGAATTGTAAAGGGGAATCTCTGTGTCTAACCTCAGTTCCATTTCCAGTGAAATTTAGGAAACTTAATTTCAAGTTACCTTTAAGTAGTTATAATGATGGTAAAATGACAAATGTTTTAAGATGATCTCTGATCAATTTTTGAATTTTAGCCTTTAAAACATTTGTATTATAATTGGAAAAGCTTCACTTGAGATTCTTGCAATTGGCAAAAATATTTTAGTATGGTTATAGTTTTTAACCACTAATTTAGTTAAGACAAGCATATATTTAAAGAGTTGTGTAAAGTATTCACAAATAACTGCATAAACTAAAATGTCTAAGTATTTCATTTTGTTTTTGAAATTTAGAACCAGCTTCATTCCAATGGTAGGCTATAGAAAAGTAAAAGCTTTGAGTCGGACTTTCAGTCTTAAGTAAACTTGTTTGGATATGAAAATAAATGAACTTTTAGCCTTGCTGACAGCTGTATGTGCCCTCTATTCTCTCCCCAGAATATTAGAATAATGGCTAAGTATTATACTCGGATAACAATGAAAAGGATGGCACAACTTTTGGATCTATCTGTTGATGTAAGTAGTAAACATCAGTGTTTCTTTTTTGTAGCCATTCTTTTTTTTTTTTTTTTTTTCTTTTTTGTCTTTTTTTTTTCCGTGACCGGTAACGGGATCGCAACCCTCAGTGTCGTGCCCGCACCGCGACCGGCAATGGGATCGCAACCCTCGGTGTCGCGCCCGCACCACACTCAACCAGTGAGCGGACTGGTCTCTATATGGGATCCGAACCCTCGGCGGGAGCACCACCGCACTCCCAAGCGCCACACTCTACCGAGTGCGCCACCGGGCCGGCCCTCATTTTTAATATCAATCAGCTCGTAAAAATTGAGTGAGAAAATGTTTTATTATTTAATTTTAAGTGATAGAAAGTTTCCCAGGCTATCTTGAGTACCAAAAAATATCCTGAATATCAAGTTTGTAGTTACATTAATTTTATTTATGCTAGTTAAAATCTTCACTTAAATATGTTAGTTTTACATTGATTAATTTGAAGCCCAAAGTATATATATAATAAATATTTTAGGTTTCCACAAAAATGAACTGCATAAGTAAAATAAGTGTGGCTTTTTGTCTTTTTTCGTGACCGGTAACGGGATCGCAACCCTCAGTGTCGTGCCCGCACCGCGACCGGCAATGGGATCGCAACCCTCGGTGTCGCGCCCGCACCACACTCAACCAGTGAGCGGACTGGTCTCTATATGGGATCCGAACCCTCGGCGGGAGCACCACCGCACTCCCAAGCGCCACACTCTACCGAGTGCGCCACCGGGCCGGCCCTCATTTTTAATATCAATCAGCTCGTAAAAATTGAGTGAGAAAATGTTTTATTATTTAATTTTAAGTGATAGAAAGTTTCCCAGGCTATCTTGAGTACCAAAAAATATCCTGAATATCAAGTTTGTAGTTACATTAATTTTATTTATGCTAGTTAAAATCTTCACTTAAATATGTTAGTTTTACATTGATTAATTTGAAGCCCAAAGTATATATATAATAAATATTTTAGGTTTCCACAAAAATGAACTGCATAAGTAAAATAAGTGTGGAAGACTTGACTACATTTCACCTGAAAAGGTCCTAGGACTTGTTAGAGGAGTACTCCAGTCTGTGTTTCATGTTGACAAAATGGACAGCACAGAAAGAGATTAACTCAAGTGTGTAATAATGGCTTGAAAAGCCGTTTCTATAACTAGAAGAGTTGTGACAGTTTTGTTTTGTTTTTTTTTTCCTTTTTGTCTTTTTTCGTGTCCGGCAACGGATCGCAACCCTCAGTGTCGCGCCCGTACCGGACCGGGACCGGCAACGGGATCGCAACCCTCGGTGTTGCTCCTGCACCTCGCTCAGCCAGTGAGCGGCCGGTCTGTATGTGGGATCCGAACCCTCGGCAGGAGCGCCGCCGCACTCCCAAGCGGCGCACTGTAGCAGTGTGCCAACGGGCCCGCCCCAGTTGTGACAGTTTAGCTGGAAAAGAAAAATTATGAAATGTTGGAGTTGAAAGGCTTGATCTTTGGTTAGCTGGTTGGCTCTTCTCCTTTATCGATTAGCGTAACAGAGTCCTTGGAAGTCAAGTGTCTTGTCCTTGGCTACGTAGTTGCCAAGTGGCAGAGCATGTATTCTAACACAGCAGTTCTGGAAACAGTTTAACTATACCATACTGCCTTTTAAGGGAAACGTTGTAGAAAATGGAGTAGACCACTTGTGGCTGGCACAGGCTCTTATTGACAGTACCAGCGTATATAAAGTTTGCAGAGAGGCAGATTCAAACTCAGCACTGATGCTGAGTCAACTCGGATACTGTTCATTCCCTAGACTGTCAGTAACATAAGTACATTATTATGGAAAGTCAGCAGTCACTAACTGTTAATAGTGAATTCTAGCCCTACATAATTTTGGATGAAGAGTTTAGAAAATGTTTTCCTTAAGTTTTGTTTTATTGTCTGTAATTATCCTGTCTTAATCCAATTTGTCTTTCTCTCTTGCAGGAGTCAGAGGCTTTTCTCTCAAATCTAGTGGTTAACAAGACCATCTTTGCTAAAGTAGACAGGTTGGCAGGAATTATCAACTTCCAGAGACCCAAGGATCCAAATAATTTATTAAATGACTGGTCTCAGAAACTGAATTCATTGATGTCTCTGGTTAACAAAACTACGCATCTCATAGCCAAAGAGGAGATGATACATAATCTACAATAAGGGTCTTATTGCCTTTAGAAGAGTTAAAATTGGAAGTCATTTTTTAAAAAAAAGACTGTTATTTTGGTGTATATTTTGAGTTTTTTTTTTTTTTTTCCTATTCTCAGCTCCCTTGTCTAAAATTTTAAAATAGTGAATATGTTTGAGGTTCCTTTTGACCTTTCAGTTCCCTGATTACATTGTTAACTTTGCATTTGCAATTGGTGCAAAAATTTAGTACATTTTATTGTCCGAGTACGCAGAAAATTGTCATAATTTTCCCAAATGTTTTTCTCTCATTGAAACCTTTTTAGCTGTTATTTGTTTTCATTCAACTAACAACCATATTATAATAATAAAAGCAGTATATGCGTGTTTACTTTCTATAGTTACCTCTATTTCTAAACAATTCATGTGGTAGTGATTTGACAAATTTTTTTTAAATAAAATAAATTCTGTTTAAAGCTATCACTTAGTAGAATAAAAAAGCAACATAGAACATACAGGAATGTTTGGGATAGAGTTGTGATTTGTGGAGAATTTGTATTTTGGTATTGTGGCAGAAAGTCTCCAGACTGAGTGTGTGTGGAGTGATCTGGTGGGCTATATAGACTTACTTTTTTTTTTGAGTCAAACTGGTTTCAGTCACAGTAGCTTGATTACTTTTACCCAGCTTCCTCAGACTTCACCAGTTAACAAAATCAAATGTCATTGTGTTGACACAAGCTGTTGGGAGTTAAGTCCTCTTTATAGGGGTAGTGACTTGGCAGGGGGGTCTGTCCCCCTCTCCCCGCTCTTCTTGGTATGGGTTTAAATTAATACACAAAGCTGTTTTTATAAAGCTTCTTTCTGGCTTTAACTTACAGGTCTAATTATATCGTTAATGTTCCAAATTCATTCTCTCTTCATAGGAACTAAAGTTCCATTATATGAACACTGGATAACCTAATTTTTAAAAATGCTTAATGACAAAAAGTCTTAAGGCCACCCTCATGGTAAGTTTGGTATAGTATTAAAATTTTTTCACAGAATTAAAGTAGTTTTATTGTCAAAAGAAACATCTGAGATCAATTAATTCTAGCAAATTGTGGAAGTTTTTTTTTTTAAATTTGATTTATTTCAGAAAAAAACAAAAATGAAATAGTGTTAGAAGGTTATTTAAAATGATGTTTAAATGAAGAAAGTGTGAGGTACACTTTTAAAAATCGAAGTAAAAAACTAAGCGTTCTAGAAACAGCATTTCTCATAATTAATTTTCCATTTAATGGAAATGTTCATTAAAATTTTCATTCAATGGAAAATTGTCACTAAATTTTACTATTTCATGATCCCAGGCCAGGGGACAATTGTGGGACCCCTAATATGCTCTGTATTGTGAATAATGACATACTATTAAAGTAATCTAATTTATTCTTTGGGAATTTAATGCACTGGTCACATTAATAACATCAACATCTGCTATCACTTAACTTTAAAAAACCAAAAATATGGCAAGTTCAGAAACAGACATTTACACTAACAGTAAGAATATGGTTTTAATTTTCTCTTGAATAAGAAAGATAGAAAATAAAATCATTTTGCATTGTTTGTAAATAAAGTTGGAGCTAATTTGAATCTAGCTTCTCATTAATTTCATCTTTCCAGGAACTCATCACCTTTGGTCTTGCCAACTTGGGACTGTTGGGATGAATGTGTTAATACTGTATAAATCTCAAATGTTCCTCCAGTCTGGTCTTTATTTAACATGCTCACTCTCAAACTAGGCTCTGTGTGTTATGATCTGGCGACATTTGTGACTGTGTCCCAGTGACCATATCTCACTTGATTTGATTAGCTGCTCATCAATTTCTTGCTTTTTCCTGTCAAACATTAACCAAGGAAACATGAGTTATTTAGCAATTTCTTTTCTTAGCGTTACAAAAAAATCCATTATCATAAGATAATAAAATATTTGAGAACCTAAATTAATAGTTTTACTTTTCAGACCTCAAGTTGGCATTCATGAAAAGGATAGGACTACTTTGTTTTAAGTATAAAGAAGATGATACTTGATTCATTATCATTTTCATTAGTGTACTTAACCAGCAAGAGAGGTGATGAGCCATTGTTTTTTTTTGAAACACCATTTATTTTCATATAATTTATGTTTTTATTTTAGAGTTCAATAGCTGTTTCTGTAATTGTACTCAATTTCCATATGCTTATTATTAAATTATTGAAAAAGTCATTTTTAAAATTCATACAGTTCATTCTATCTTTCATAAGTGTTAAATGTATGGTAAAAGTGCATATTTTAAATTGTTTTCAGCTCCTGGATATAGCAGCAATAAAAACACTAATTTGTGGGTATTTAAGAAAACCTGGAGAATAAATTCAAACTTTAAAAGGTCACTTCTCTTCAGTTCTCTTACTGTTTAAATTTTTTAAAGAGCCATAGATAAGTGTCATTTTTCTTCCCCAAATCATCTGTCTTTCTAAACCTGTTTTGCTTTTGTTTTTATTTTTTTAATTAGACTTTTTATTGAAACATAACTGATTATACATGTTTTGGGGGTACAGTGTTGACTTTTTTTTAAGAGCAATTTTAGGTTCACAGCAAAATTGAGTGGAAGGTACAGGGATTTCTCATATACCCTTTTGAGCCCCTCCCACCTTCCCACACACACACATGCACAATCCCCCCCATTATCAACATCCCCCACTAGAGTGATGCATTTGTTACCATCCAACCTCCATTGATACATAATTATCACCCAAAGTCCATAGTTTTCATTAGGGTTCATTCTTGGTGTTGCATGTTCTGTGGGTTCAGAGAATTGTATAATGAGATGTATCTACCATTGTAGTGTCATAACAGTATTTTTCAGCCTCCCAAATCCTCTGTGCTGTACCTGTTCATACCTCACCCCTGCTAGCCCTTAGCAACCATTGATCTTTTTACTTTGGTACCCATAGTTTTGCCTTTTCCAGAATGTCATGTAGTTAGAATCATAGGGTATATAGCCATTTCAGATTGCCTTTCATTTAGAAATGTACCTTTAAGTTTCCACCATGTCTTAAGGCCTTGATAGTTCATTTATTTTTAGTGCTTAATAATATTCCATTTTGCGGCTGGCCAATACTGGAATCCAAACCCATACCGTTGGTGTTACAAGGCTGTGCTCTACCCAACTGAGCTAACCAGCCAGCCCATTCTAAAATTGTTTTTAAGCAGTGGTAAAACATTTTGCATGTTTGTTTCGAAAGCCAACTAATTGGCCTTTTACCCCCATAACTTCCCATTTGAGGTTGGTGACCTAGGCCATACCTTGTGGCGCTCTTGACTGGCGCTTCTCCAACTTAGTGCACATCAAAGTACCTGCAGGGCTTATTACAACACACAGTGCTGGACCTCTCCCCCAGAGTTTCTGACTCAGTAGATCTGGAGCGGGGCCCCAAGTTTTTCATTTCTAAGTTCTCAGGTGATGCCGAAGCTGCCACTCGTTTTAACACTAGTGTGTAAGTGCTAGAAAAGAACTGACCTACAGTAAATTGGTTTCTTAAAAGATATTTTTATGTGAAAAAAAAGATGGACATCAAAGGTAGTGTGACAATATTGTTACAGTGTCAATTCTCCAGTCCCAGTTGTTTTTGAGTCTAGTCATTTGAAAGCTGGTTTCATACTGCCTCCTGAGGTGTAGAGAAATAGTCTTGCTTTTTGAGTGGATATAAAATAATGTCCCTAACTTGGAGCTTAATATTTAATATGTTGAAAGAATTGAACGACATTTCTTTGAAGATTGTAGAAGTTTCATCATCTTGCAATTTTTTTCTAAGATTGGGAACCGTGTTTATCTTCATACCCATCACTTCTGTTACACAGTAGAAACTTGAATGCTTGTTGTTTCTTAACCTGTTAATCTTTTTTAACCCTTCATTATTTTGTTTTGATCTTCACTTCCAATTTTATGTTACCCTGAACTTTTTTTTTTTCCTGAGTTGATCCACCCTAAGAAGTAAACAAAGTTTCTAAAACATTTCCCAAGTTGTAGCTTCCCAGATTTTATCAGTTTCTTCAGATTTTCCAACATGAAGGGCAGTTTCAAACAGTCTGAAATGCCCTATTTGTAAGAAACAGATCAGGGACTCAGCTTCCCCCTATAGTTCTTTGACTCCCCACCCCTTAGGCACTTCTAACTTCATGAGAAGGAAATATCCTACCACTTTCCCTTGTTTCTTTGGTTTTATTTAGTGAACATTCTGGTGGGCCATCCAGATTCTTTCAAGACTGAGTTGCTTATTCCTGGAAGTGCTAGAGGCTCACAGCTGAGTTTGTCCTCACCTGCCTCTTCCACTCGCCATGACTGCCTTCGGCTGAAGAGAGCTGCCTCCTGTCCAATGACTAGTTCATATAGGAATGGAAAGTTCTGGTCCTCTTGCTGCAATTTGGAACAACTCTGAAGGGCCGTTCCAGCTCTGGAAAGTTCCCCATAAGATGGACTGAGGCCTTTGTTACAACCACATCATGGTTCAACTTCTCTCTCTTCCCAATCTCCTTCCATCACTTACCCACAGGTGTTGCTCTCCCAGGCAAGCCCCAGTAAGCTGCCTTTGTGCATATGTTCATGTCAGAGTCTGCTTCTGGGGGATCTGGGCCTATGAAAGCCAGAGCTGGAAGTGATCTGAGGAAGCTGACTACAATGGGGCATTGCAGCCAGATCACCCGCTGTCCAGCTGTCAGTGAGGACCTGGTCACTGGTAATACATGGAGCACATATAGCCCCTGGCATACAGTAGGAATAAAATAGGGATGTTAAACTGGTGGCAAACTAGGATGATTGGTGGAAAGGAATGCACAGAGCTTTAAGAAATTCTGTGGACTGGGCCCCCAGCTTGGGATGCCTTCTTTCCCCCGGTGGGACACCTGACTTTGGGCTTTGCCTTCTCACCTCCACCAGGGAGTGGAGGCAGTGGGCCAGGGGAGCCAGAGCCAGGCTGAGTTGACTCAGACCTGGCTAAGCTCCCAAGGCCCTCCTGGTGGGCCAGGCCCTGAGGTGGGGATTCCCCCGTGTCCCCCTCCCCCATATGAGTTCTGTGGAGGGATGACATACTCTGGACCTCAGGTTGGAGTGGGGCTAGTGCCCCAGGGCAGCCTGGAGTCCTCTCAGCCCAAGGGCGAGGTGGGTGGAGAGCAACTCGGAGGGGGCCTCCCCTGAGCCGTGCACCGCCACCCCTGGTGCGGAGAAGCTGGAGCAGAACTCTGAGGAGTCCCAGGACCTCAAGGCTCTGCAGAAAGAACTGGAGCAATCTGGCAAGCTCCCGAAGCAGAAGAGGGTCACGTCGGGACACACCAGGCTGCTGTGGAGCTCCGCTGGGGGTTCTCTGCGGGAAGGTGTTCGGTCAAACGACCACCCACAGCCCTGAGAACGTGTGTGCTGCAGAGGGGGGTGGAGGACGGGGCGACAACGAAGCTTCAGCGACCCTCCTGCAGCCCGGAAGAGACAGCGAGCGAGTGTCGGGAACCGAGAGAGAGAGGCACCTGGAGACCCTGCTCCTCAGCGCCTGGAAGCCGCGCTGCAGCGGGTCAGCCACGTGGCCCCGCAGCCTGGGGAGGACACGGTCCAGGCGCCGTTCTGCAGCCAGCGTAGTGACTGTTCACGGTGAGAGGGACTTGAGGCCTTTCTGAGGGACGCCAGTATACTTTCCTCTGACCCCAGTACCCCACGTGGGTACCCCAGGCTAGGGGAGCCCTCACTTCACTACACTGTCCTTCTCGGTCCCCCTGCCTCTGTCACCACTCTGGGCTCTCCCATGCATTCCAACTGAGGCGCTTGCCCTTCCTAGGAAAGGGGAGAAGCCAGGGAAAGAGCCTGGACTAGGTACCTGGGCTTTTGGGGTAAGTTCTCCAGTCGCTAAGGAAGGAATCGGAAACACGAGGGGTGGGGGCAGGGAACCTTGGGGGAACTGATTGGAGGGAAGGTGAAGTTCCATGGTGCTCTGGATTTTAATCCCCACACCACTCATCACTTTTTCTTAAGAAGCCTGGGACACATTTATAAAAAAGAAAAGAAAAAAAGAAAGAAATTCTGTCGAAATAGTCAAAGGATAATGGAATTAAATAGCTGTTTCTTGGGGCAGTCAATACTTGGCAAAAAGACAAAGGCTCAGAGTAATTAATCACCAATTAGGGGCTAAGTTGAAAAGCAGAAGGCCCCCCTTGGCAGCTTATAAAGAGACTTGTCTACAGTATATAAAAAGTAATGAGGATCAGACCTCGGAGTTGTCAGAGTGGTGGAGCTCCAGAGGAGGGTGAATAGTCAGCCTCAGCTGGTCTGTTATGCTAATGTCAGGTCCCAGATTGACTGGAAAAGAGGGGCAGCCCGAGATGAGGGATGGAGAGTTTTGGGGTCCGTGTACACAAGGATCTTGAGGCCCTAGATTCCCCTGAACCCTTTGTCCTTACAGAAGTGGCCTGCTCCTTGTTAAAGGATGCTCTTTCCCTGGCCTGAAGCTGATGCAGAGGTTTCTGCCTCGTAAGGCAACGTGAACAACATTCACTTCCCCTCCTACCCACCAGACCAATAACTAGGGTTAAGTTACAAAATAACCTGGTTAGGCAAGTCCACTTAGAAAAGGGACCAGAAGGGCCAGCCTGTGGCTCACTCGGGAGAGTGTGGTGCTGATAACACCAAGGCTCCGGGTTCGGATCCCATATAGGGATGGCCGGTTTGCTCACTGGGAGAGCGTGGTGCTGACAACACCAAGTCAAGGGTTAAGATCCCCTTACCGGTCATTTTTAAAAAAAAAAAAAAAAAAAAAAAAGGGGGACCAGACTCCAAAGGAACTACAGGACCTAGCCAGCAAGAGCCAGTCAAATTCATATATGGGATTGGATCTTGAGGGTACTGGAACAGGGACAGAAGCATACGGTTGGAGAAGGAAGAAGTTATCAATACACAGGCACTCTCCCGAGATACAGGATTTAATGGCCAAGCAAGGACCCTGAGAGATGGCGCTAACGTGCTGTTAGGATGGCTTTTAGACGTTTGGAAGAAGCTCAACCCACACTAAGTGAAGTAGAAATGCAAGAACTGCTGAGGCAAAGGGTAGAAGAAGGATTAAAAGAAAGACTCACAGAAGTGGGCATGCTGGAGTGGATATACTACGTAAGGCCAGAAATCCCATCACATGACTTCCATGGAAAGGCGCAGAGGACAGTCCATTTATCAAAGCAGTAAAGAAGGTCTGGGAGAAATGTGCCTGCATCACTCAGCAGCTCAATGGTGGCTGTCCACTGTAGGCCGGGGCTTGCAGTGGGAGATGCAACTACAGACCTGGACCCCTGGTAGCAATGGGGATCATAGGATTGATCCCAGTATAACAGAGGTCAGGACACTTAACCATCAGAAAAA